ATAATCTAGAATTTAATAAAGAAACATTTAGGTGTTTATTCTTCTAGAACATTCCACAAGTTATTTAATATTTACTGTTTAAGTATAATGTCTTAAAGATAATTTTAACGATATAATCATCATTAAAGAAGTACGCACCAAACATTATATTATCAAACTTTTTAACGTTTAAACAGATACGTTTTTTTTTGTTTTTTTGTTTGTCGATTGCCAGCTTGAAATTGTTGTTGTAAACTCGTAAAATATGTTCCCGCAAATGCATTAAACAACTATTACATTTTCACTTTTTAAATCCTGTCAAGGGTGAGGGATCTATTTGTTTTACAAATGGACGCGTGTGAATCTCGTTGGATTTTACTTATTTTTTTTTAGAAAACTCATCGAACAGAAAAAACAGAGAAAAGTTACATACTGCAATTCTACGTACATAAATCGGAAATGGATTACATACCTATGTAACCTTTGCAATAGACAATATAGTAAAAGGCCATTTTTTCTAATCTCCTAGGTGTTTTCGGGAAAACAAGTAGCGGTAAACGGCAACACAATTCGAACGAAGAAACTCAAGCGAAAAATCTTAACTAGATTTGGGTAAACCGAACTTAACTTTTGGAATCGTTTTTCAAATTAAATTATTTACCGTGGCATCAAAATTTAAACTCACGCCACAGCGACCAGTAATACTCACGTATCTCAGTTAAACAAAAAAAAACTAGAGGAAGTCGCTTTGCTGTTTAATATTGTGTATACTAGGATAACTTATAATTAGGTTGGTTCCTATCCATTCATTACGGATGAGTTAAATTAGAGTTCAACAATAAATCATTAAATTTTTACGAACAACAGTTCTGAAAGCGAATAATAGATATAATATTGAATTTAGTACTTATTTTATTTGGGTCATTTTTACAAATTTTTAATGTTAATGGATCATTATTGATTACTAAAATGTTCAAATCACCATAGCCTTCATATTTTACAAATCCATTGTCATTGGTCTATTATCCTCGGTGCTCGGCAAGGCCGTATCCAAAAAAATATTTAGGGGGGAGGTTTAGAGTATAAATATGTTATATTATATAATAAAATATGAAACTATAAAAATATTATTTAAATTAAATTTATCTATATTTAAAAATAATTAAAAAATATTTTGGGGGGGTTCAACCCCCCCTCCACAAATCTGGCTACGGCCTTGGTGCTCGGAGTTAAATAACTAAAAATTACTCGTACGATTATATAATACTTGAAAATGTTCAAAAAAGTTAACCACTAAATAATTAACATCAGAAAGAGAGGGTTGTCATTTAAAAACCAAAACTATGCATCTCCAAATGACACTCCTTATAAGTAGTAGGTACTATAAATCTTAAGTATTTTAAGATATTATCTTTAAGTTTATTTAAAAAATGAGGTGAGAATGCTTGGTGAATCATCCTGCATAGGTATGTAGATTTGAAAATTAACTGTAAAATTTTAGTAAAATGTCAGCGTTATGTCTTATTTTCAAATTGTTTTGAAAATACTTACAAATGCCTACCTCATAGCATATTGCGTACCTACATAATAAAAAGTACATTATCGTGTATTATTGTTCATTATCGTTGATTCACTTGTTGATATAATATATTAAATAAATCGATATAACTGTGTACATAGGGTGCTAGATGTGCTGTACTGGTGTGGTCTTCTATTATATTATTGTCGGCGACAAAGGTGCGAATTCGGTGGGCCGAAAGACAAAAGCGCCAAGTTGCGATTGGCTCGAAATTGCTAAAACGAAGCGTTTACTCGTTTGGCTACAAAGTTTCACCATAACCGAGGTCCATACCAGGAATAATAAAACTAAAATCAAAACTGCATACTTAACGAATACACCTATATGTATAGGTACTATAATACATAATTAACACTAATTACTAACCGTAAGGCGTCCAAGAAAATCAATACGTTTTACTTAATATCAGAATAAGTAAAATTCATTGTTGAGGATTGGTAGCTTTCAAATGTCAAAAATAAATGCATACCTGTTAACCATTTTTTGTTGTAGTTGTGATTTATGATTAATGAATGGGCATCGAAGTTTATTATCTGTACGTATATAATATAGGTTATTATAACTCAGCTCATCCGTACTAAAGCAAATGGTCATTGGAATGCAACTTGTATTAAATATGTTTTTATAAATTATATTGTATTTCTGCTATTTGCAATAGGTAAGTTATAATATTATTGTGAGAATAAGACCGTATTGAAATACATATATGTATAAGAATTATATTATATTAAGTTTGTGATATTTTTTGAAAATCTTCTTAGTAGATATTTAAATTGAATTAACCCGTATATAATATAATAGTGTACTGTACACACGAACATGTAATAATAATAGTAAACTAAAAACTGCGTACAAATTCCTACTACAAAATATTATGTAATCCTCTTTGCAGTGTACATAATATATAATAATATTATTATGTAGGTACGTTGGCATTATTTAGATTTTGGCTTTCGCTCCCGATTTGTTGAATTGCTTCTTCTGATTAATTTTTAGCTACCTACGCCACTGTTCATTATAAACACCCTTTTATGTACACATATTTTATAAACAAGCAAATTTAATTGTATTATAACACATGTACTACACATACCTACCTATTTATAAATAAATTCTTAAATGTAATTTAATTTGGTAGGTACATAATTTTAATACTGGAATGCGATGTTATGCTGATTTCAACAACAAGCTGGGTAACAAATAATTTGCTTTAATTTATTTCTCTCAAGAATAACGCACTTACCATTACACTTATCATATATTGATGTCATATAAGTATATATATATATATTCATATTCGTGTATATGTTGGCATTGAGTACAAAAGTTCCTCTAAAAAAAAATTAAAAATAGTTTTGTAAATATATAATATATGTGTTGACCTATTTATATAAGGGTGGCAATTTCTGGTTCAATTATATTTCTCTTAAAGCTTAATAATTTTTAACATACGTTTCATGTCCTATTTATAGTTAGGCCTATTATTGTAACTGGTTCCAGGACTAGGATTTATTCTAAATTGACCATTCGCAATTTATTGATCAATCATTACAAGTGTTTACGAATACAGAGACATACCGTGAGAATTTGAAACAGTTGCATAATATATATATAACTATATTATATATTATTTAATTTACAGAGCTAATATCGGATTTTGGATTAATATTATTTTAACCTCAGACGTCTTCATAGCAAAATTTTAGATAAATAAACGTAAAACAAACCATAAGTAAAGCCTCGGTGAACAAATTTTCTAACAATATAATTTTTAACTATAGATACCTACAGCTATATTAATTCCATTATTCGTCTTGATAATTTTGAATATTATTTAGATATTGATGAAAAATAATTACTATGTAAATTTATTCAATTTAATTGGAAAATATATTTTTTAACTTGTTTCCACCCTCCTAAAAATTCAAATTTTGCTTTTAAAGAGAACAATTAATTGATATTCATAATATGCATAGTACTTGGAAAAATGTGGAACTTTGTATTATGCTAATAAATAAATATCCATAGTTGAGGAATCTGATGAAGAAAATAATAAAGTTCAATACATTTGATATCAGTGATCAGAAATTTCAAAACAAATTTCAAAAAAACTGTTACAATTATTTAACCCACAAGCGTATTAAAAAGTAAAAATAGTTATACCGTTTAAAGCTTCAACAAAAACAATTATTTTTTATTTACATCATTTCTTTCTCAATATCTAAACTGGTATGAACAGTCCCATAATACCTATGTTGGAAAAATGTATTATTTTATTAGTTGATTCCGATTTGAGGTCCCAGGATTTCGTATAATATTCAGACATTCAGTATACCGTTTTCTTTTATTTTCTATTTGGAGATATCCTGTTAATATATTATAGTTTTTAATTATTTCTTTAGTTCTGCAGGTTAGACTTGTAGCATTCCCTCTTTACCCATAAGATAATTTTGGGTAACTGTAGGGTAAGATTAATACAATAATTAATTCTTAATAACATATTATTATTTATTACGATTAGTTATTTGTTGATAGTGTGATAGATAGCCAGATTGATAGGTATAATATAATGCAGGTAGTACAGTAACAGGCATACACCACACAATTACAAATCAGTTTTTGTTATAAATTAACATAATTTATAAAAAGTTCCATAGGTAGTTTATTTATGAATTTACTTTGTATTAATTTCTCAAGACAACATGTAAAAATTAACAACAACCAAACAGTTATGCTTATTAAAACTAAAAAAATGTATTCATCGTATATTACGTGTTAAAGTTTTCGGATTCTAAAAACGAAGCAAGGAATATATCGATTTTATAAGCTATTTTTTAATCCTATATTCATTTTATTGTTATCTATACAAATATTTTTCTGGGAAAAGGAGTGCTTTTTAAATTGAAAGTAGCGATCTGACATTGATTCCAGTTTAATGCGTGCTTACTACTTAGATTATCTGTAATTATTCGATTTCCCAGTTATTCCACTTAGTTCAAAGATATACTATGTATAGATAAGTTCAAAGACGTGAGCCTAAGCATTGATTTTAAATATTATATTTTAACACAAATAAACACACCGGCTGTTTCAGTGGCCCATTCAACCTGAATCAACTTAAACAAAAATTTATATTAATGGAAACATGTGGATTTTAAATTAATAACGTGAACTTCTATAAATGCTTTTTGTCAAATTATGATATTTGATCATCGCGTATTTATAAATGAAAAAAGCCTTACAATAACATAAGGGATTTGTTATGATATTTTCTTCGGAAGTCATTATAGCGAGTCGTAGAGAAATATATTACAAAAACGCGGTTTTTTGACGCGTAAAGAACACTTGCACAGTTGCACACACGTTATAGGGGGCATTTTACTGGGCGGCCGTTTGCCTGAGTGTATTAAGCCTGGTCAGGGGTGTCGGCGCAGTCGCCGGATATCGTCAGTATCGGTTAGACGCGCAACCCTCGACATGTTTCGCCGGCTCGGCGCGACTTTTGTTTTCGTCATGCACATTTTTTTACCCGGTAAGAACTTTTTAAAAGTCGAGTAATATTTATTTTATATTTTATTGTTTTTTTTTTCAAATCTTTTTGATCTAATTTTTGTGTATAAATATACATAACACCGCTTATAGATTGGAAAAAGTCCTCTATATTCATACAAAATAAAAATATTTGTATTTTAGTTTTTTTTATGTGGTTTAGGTATTTGTATAACTCAATGAATATGCAATTTAAATTTTTCACACACAATATACGATTTCAATAAACCTGTATATATACATTTAGTGACATCTTATTTAATGTATGGTAGATACCTGCATTTAATATCACTAAAATCACAATTCTAAAATTATTACTTATACATTTCTTGATTCACAATTTTAATCCAAGCAAATAAATATTAAAGTACCAACTTAGCTGGGTTTTAATAGCTTGATAATGTATAAATTATAACAATTAAATTAATAATTCATTGATATACCCAGATAAATTTCATAGAATATAATTTGATCTACTTATTTTTAGTTCTGTGAGTGTTTAATTTTTTAATTTCTAGAAAGCATTTTGAAATTAGTTTCAACATTTTAATATTTTGTAAATTAAATTATGATTATAATATAATATAATATGAAAATAGACGTATAAAAGAGAACCTATATTTGTGCAGGTACAGGTGATATCCATTAACGTGGACTTCATAATAAAAATAAAACTATGTACATTGAATATTTTCTTCTGGGATTTCTTCCTTATAATTCACTTAATATACTTATTTTTAAATGATTGAGTACATTTTCGGAAGTACTCATAAGTTATACGGTATTTATTCTGTGTTATAATATAAATGTAATAGTATGTATGTATTAGGTACATTTTTCCTTGCATTATATTTTATCGTAGAATGATTTTATTCCCCGATCAGAAAGTGTTTGAAGACATCCATCTTTATTTGGAAGTTCTACACTATTTCATAATAATAATCATAAATGTTGGGATAGTAAATAGGTACGTCAACTATATATATATATGATTTATAATAAAGAAATATGCATAAAGTATATTGTATATAAAATATTGGTTCTTTTTTCAAAGATTTAATAATATTTATTACGTTTAATAGTGCCCTAAAACTATATTTTAAAAAAAAATTATAAGTTGTTTAGTAAATTAATTGTAACTTGTTAGCTCAAGAAAAATTAAAAATTGAGGAATTTTATTCCGTTCTAACTGATTAAGACGTAGTAAGTATAAACTTTTTGCATAAACTTATTAGGTACGTATCATGTACCTGGTATCTATTATTAAATTAAAAATAAATTAAAACCTATATTGAACACAGTACATTATACTGCTTATAGGTTATCGGATAAATCGTAAACCCTACACTCACTGTTGACAATAATATGTTTGTATAGACTTATTGTAGGTATCTGTTTATTTATTAGGGACCTTTATATTGTGACCTAAGGTTAGTGTTTGTATTGTCTTAACAGTGTTCCCCAATGACCAATACGCTATTTTATGATTTCAGACCACATTCAAAATATCTTGTATTTTTAAATTTTTAATTCTGCACTTGAGTTTATGCGTGTGACATATTTTTATAACTTCTCGCATGAATAATGTATTTGTTTGAAGGAAACCATATCCATATAAATCTTCACACATTATAAGAAAGATATTTATGAATTCAAAAAGAAAGTGTAAATAACAATTTCTAGAAACCTAGACCATTGTTAATTAATTACTTAACTATTTTATTTCTCAACTGAAACTTATATTTTGAATAAAAGGTAATTAAAAATAGTAAGTATTATACTTTTAATTACACAGATATTATGCAATATAGCTATTGTTGTAACTAAAATTATAACCCATTATTTTACATCATAAATTAAATTGTATAGAAATTCAATGAAATATAATCATAATATGCTAGAATATGAGTAGTATAATGTACAGCAATTATCTTAAAATAACTATAAACAACTAATATAATTTATAATGATAACTCGCAGCAGTAAATTTTGAAACGAAAATATAACATTAATAACATAATATAATGGCATTATAAATAATATACAGCAATAATATTATTTAAGTAACCTTCCTGCAAATACTAGACTGCTCACTAGTTACTATTATATCATATATAAACACAACATAACATTGTATACATGGTAGGTTTATATTAGTAGTTTTACCTATATAAAATAAATTGAAGAAAAAACACAATATTCCACTTAAATATTATTTGATTGTAGAGCTTTTGTCTGTTTATCACAATAAACTATTTTTTTTTATCTAATAAATGTGATGTTAAATCAATTAACATAATATACATTTAAATATAAAATAATTATTTGAACTTTTAATAGAACACTAAACATTTTCATTACTTTTTGGGAGTAGGTATTTAAATGCACATTCTATGCCAATTATTAATAACCAAAAGCTTACAGCTATAAACATTTATTTTAATAAGAAATACGTATCTTAATTATTTATCACGACATACTGGAGTATAAAATACAATTGCTTTTAACATTAATTTAAAACACAATAAATTGGTTTGAACTTTAAATTAGTAAAGTTTGATAAATATGTTTATATTTAATATTTTATGTAACTATTTAATTATAATGTTTAATTTACACTTAACTATAATAAATGTAACTGAACCAGTAACCATCATTGACTAATTAAATAAACGAACAAGCAAATCGATGAAATATGGGGTATATGAATAACACAAACATTATTATAAATTTATCAACGTTAAATAACAGTAAATAACATATTTGATAATCAGGCACAAGTACGACGCCGTTCATACTTCAACAGTTCAACTTAATATCACCAAGCTCCAGTCTTTAAAAAACTTATTATGGTTAAATATGAGTATTTTATTAGGATGTAAACAACTATTCATAAATAATATATTATGTTGTATCATTATTTATATTTCAAGTTAAGACTATTTGTACACAACACAATAAGGTATAATATACCAGGACGTATAAATGCATCATAGTTAATTAAATATTAAATATTGTTAGTTTTTTGCATTTTATTAAATAATTTTATGATATGTGTATAGCATAAAATATTGTTATGCATTAAATATAATGTTGTATTCTCACATTTATAAAATAATTTAAGTAAATATTGTTCAACTTAAAATTCAAATATGTACATATAATAGTACATTAGTAGAATTGTAAAATATAAATAACCTCCTAGTATAAAAAATCAAATTTATTTCGTGTCATTGATAAGAATAAATCCAGAATAGCTCCAATAATACTATGGGGAATCGCAGTTCAATGCCATTAATCAGTAATTTCCAATTCATTAACAAAGTCAATTCAACCCAGGTTTATAAGAATATGACACCAACAACGTGGTTATAAACCTACTTATCTATTAGCCGACTATTATTATCAGGGTTCGAGACTTCATGCATTTGCATATTTATTCGGGAAATAAATACTATAAATTTGATCCGGTAAAAATTTGTGTAGTGGTGTTTGGAGTTAAAGTTTTAAAGTTAGCTGTGCATATGTTTACATATTTTGGAATTTTTTTCTACAAATGTACTCTTAAATCAATTTTTTAGTAAATTAATTTTATCTACATGATTTTTTCGGCAATAATAACGATAATCAATAGCGTTACTGGGAACTCATTTTATTTTTAGCTCTGAGGACAATATTATTTTTATTTAATCTGTCTTTTATAGTATTATTTTGTTTGCCAGTAGTCAGTATATAGTGATCGATGGACTACGATCGTTATCGTGTGCATGTATCGTCAATCGTTGTCGTGTTCGTATCTGTATTCGTTATTTTTTGTATTTATTANATGGACTACGATCGTTATCGTGTGCATGTATCGTCAATCGTTGTCGTGTTCGTATCTGTATTCGTTATTTTTTGTATTTATTAGCGCTTGTATTTGTGGTATAATATGCCGAAAGAAAACAAAACACAAATTAGTCGGTTGAGAAGTTTCATTTTGGAATTTGGGGATAATGTATTTTTAGCAAACGGAAGAATTTTATTTTGCAAAATATGTGAAATTAAAGTTGATAATAGATATGAACGGCGATCTAGTGTAATATAACATATAAGTACAAACAATAAAACATGCAGGGCCGAACTTCCGCCTAGGGGCCCTTGTCTTCCTGGGGCCCTCAGGGAAACACACACAAAAAAAAGGTATCACATACATAAATTGATTAACACGGAAAATAGTTCATGTATAATATAGAATATTATTGAGAGGAAGTAATTTAGAAATTAATATTATTATATTGTGTTTTAGTAATATGGAACCGTGTATAAACATAAATAAATACATTTCGTGGTGTTTATCAGTGATTGTTTCTTTCTATTCGATTATATTTATAGCCGAAACCCTTAAATAAATGTATAACCGTAAACACTAAAATTTTTTATTTCGGTGCGAGCAAAATAGTTATAATATTTGTTTTATCTATTAGTATGTTGAAAATATACAAATTAAAAACAGTTTTTATTAATATATATTTAAAAGGGCCTTTCTTTAAAAGCTGCCTTGAGGCCCTGAGACCTTTAAGTTCGGCCCTGAAAACATGTAAAAATAATTAAACTGAGAGAAATGTTCAATACAAGAAACTAGCAAATGATTACACTAACTAATACAAATAAAATATAATTATAAAATGATTATTTTTTATAACATAAAAATTTTAATTGCTACGTAAAGAAGATGCGGAGTGTTAAAAAATCCAAATTTTTTTATAATATAGTATGTATAAAATATACATTTTTAGTAATATGCACAAGATATGTTTTTTAACGTCTTTTTTAATTAAAAATAAATGCATATTTAAGTGCATATTTTGATATTTTTTTGGTGCATATGTACACGTATATTTTTAAGATTTTAACCTTTAAGCACATTAAGTCCCGAGCCTTGATTATTATGATTAAAATTACAATTATTTGCAATCGGCTTAAAATTATTGATAGGTAAAT